GCGGCGCTGCTGAGCAGCCCGGGGCTCGCTCCGCTGACGCCAGAGACCGGGCAGCAGCTCCAGGGCCTCCTGCAGCCGAGGGACGCCCCCGCCCTGGCGCCGCCGCCAGCCCGACAGCTCGACGACGCGCCCCTTTCCTACGGGCGGCTGCAGAAGGTCCTCCGGGCGAGCCCCAAGGGGAGCGGGGCCGCTGTCGGCGGCGGCAGGTTCGAGCACTGGCGGGTGGTCCTCTCTGATTCTGGGGCGCTGGGGGCCTTCCGCGGCGTCTGCGACCGCCTGGCTGAGGGGCGAGTCCCCGAGAGCGCCGCCGCTGCCCTGGCTACCTCCAAGCTCACGCCGCTGCGGAAGGGCGAGCGCGGCGTCCGGCCCATCGCGGCGCCGAACATCTTGCGGCGCTTGGTGGGCCGCGCACTGGCAACCGAGCGACGGGACCGCTTGCAAGACGCGCTCGGCAGACAGCAGTTCGCCATCGGCACGGCCGCGGGGACTGAACTGCTGGCGCACTCAGTGCGCGCTCTGCTGGAGAATGCGCCACACCTGGTGGTTACTGCCTTGGACGCGAAGAACGCTTTCTGCACCGCGCGCCGGGCCACTTGCCTGCAGCAGCTGGAGGAGGTGGATCCCTCCCTCCTCCCCTTCGCAGAGCTCTTCTGCAGGCGCCGCTCGCAGTACTTCTTCTGGGACAGCAAGGGGGCCTGCCACCGACTGCGCGCCACTGACGGCGTGGACCAAGGGGACCCGCTCGCGCCCCTCCTCTTTGCCTGCGGCCTGCGCCCCTACTTGCGCGCGCTCGAGGAGGACCTGCGCCGCCGGGCTGAGGCGCGCGGGCTTCCGCCGGGCGAAGTTCACGTGTTCGCTTACCTGGACGACCTAGTGGTTCTCGTGCCGCCAGAGCTCGCTGCGGAGGTGCTGCCAGCGGCGCAGGCCGCGCTTGCCCCGCTCGGACTGGAGCTGCAGCCAGGCAAAACGCAGGCTTGGTCACCCCGCGCCCCTTGCCCGCCTGGCCTGGAGGCGCACTGGCAAGAGAGAGGCCTAACGCTGGTTGGAGCCGCGCTCTCCGAGCAGCCACAGCCGAGGGAGCTGCCGCGCCCGGACGAGGGGCGCCGGGCAGACCTGGGCGCAGCCGACTACGCCACGGAGAGCGCCGAGGACGCCGCGACACGAGCCGCCGGGCTGCTCTCGAAGGTGGCCGAGCTGCCCTCGCTGGCCTCCCCGCACCTGCCCGCGGTGCAGACGGCGGCCCTGCTCTTGCGGCACTGCGGGGCTGGCAAACTGACGCACACGCTTCGCGCGACGCCTCCCGAACAGGCGCGCCCGGCGGCGGCGGCCTACGACGCTGCCCTCCTGGCCGCCTACGAAGAGCTCGGGCACCTGGACCCGCTCACGCCACAACAGAAGCAACGCTGCCAGCTCCCGCTGCGCTTGGGCGGCCGCGGCCTCCGCAGCCAGGAGGAGCTGGCCCCGGCGGCCTGGGCGGCCTCCTGGGCGCAGAGCCTGGGCGCCTTGCGGGAGCGGACGGGGCTGGCCTCCCTGGACGACCTGAACACGAGCCCGCTGCCGCTCGCCGCTGCTTGCCGGAGCAGCCTTGCCGGGCTCGCGGCGCTGCCGCCGCCGCCGCCTCGCTGGGGCGCCGGCCCTGACAGGCTGCCCACTTGGGCCGAGCTCGCCACCGAGCCTCAGAAGAAGCTCCAGAGGACGCTCACTGCAAGGATCGACCAAAAAACTTGCTGGGCTCCCTGGACTCGGATGAGGACCGGGCGCTGCTTCGCTCCTGCGGCGGCCCGCACTCCGCGGCCTGGCAGACGGCCTCGCCAGGCGAGCCCCGCCAGCGCTTGGAAGACGCCGCCTACCGCTCAGCGACGCGCTGCCTGCTAGGCCAGGACGCGGCCCCGCCAGGCGCCACCTGCTCAAACTGCACCCGCACAGGGGAGCGGGCTGGCCGGCGCTGCGGCGAACCGCTCTGCGCCAAGGGCCGCCACGCCTGGCGGTGCCCGCGCGGAGGGGGCCTCAAGGCACGCAGCGGCGACTTGGAAGCGGCTTGGGCGCACATCCATGCCGAGTGCGGCTACCAGGTGGCTCGCCAGACGCCAGTGCCCGCCTGGGACCGCTGGCGCTGGCACTGCAGCAGCTGCGCGGCGAGCGGCACGGCGGCGACCCGGCCGGCAGCGGGCGCGGCTTGCTCCTGCGGCGCCCCGCTCGCAGCCCGGCGCGAGGAAGCCATCCTCGACCTGGAGATTCAGCGGGCTGACTGCCCCCGAGTCTTCCTGGACGTCACCGTGCGGTACGCCGTGCCGGGCGACGCCGAGGGGCTCCAGGCTGCCGCGGCGCGGGACGGCGCCGTCAACAAGGGCGCCGAGGCGGACAAACACGCTCGGTACCCTGCCGGGCGAGCGCCCTGGCGGATGGCGCCGCTCGCCCTCGAAACGGGCGGGCGCCACGGCCCAGCCGCCCTGCGCCACCTGCGCCTGCTTGCGAGGGACCGGGCGCAACTGCTCGCAGGGGACGACCCCGCTGCCGCCGCTGCCGCGGCCGGCGCCCTCACGCGCCGCTGGGGCGCGGAACTGGCGGTGGCCCTGCAGGCGGCCACCGCGCGCCAGCTGCGCACAGCGCTGGGGGCGGAGGCGGCGCGGCCGCGCGCCCGCGCGGCGCTGGCCGCCGAGCTCGCTGCCTGAGCTGGAGGGCGACTATCCGGCCGGGGGCCGGGCCTAGCTGCTAGGCCTGACGTCCGGCCGGGAGGTGTATCGCCGTGGTGCACCACCGGTTCGTCGCGCCGCTCGTCGGCGACAGAGCGGGCGCAAGCGCGGCCGCGACCGTGCCTCGCCGCTCGCAGGAGGAGGAGGAGGAGGAGAGGGGAGGAGGCGGAGGAGGAGGGGGGACCCCCCTCCTCCTCCTCGTCCCTCTCCCCCTCTGGCGCGGAGGCCGCGGCGAGCTGCGTGGACCACGCCGACGTGGACGCCCCCCCTCCCGACCGGCCAATTGGCGGCCCCCCGCGGCCCGCCGGCGCGGCCGCGGCCCCCTCCCCCTCAGGAGGGAGGGCGATCGAGGATCGGGGAGGACCCATGGGGGGGGGGGGGGGGGGCGATTGACCCAGAGGTCCAACGCATTGAAGAAATCAGGACGGAGGCTGTGCACAAGTTTCGGCCCCTACCTGGAGAACCCCGGTGATGCCTTTTGGACCCCCACGCGTCCCCGGGGACCGGAGATCTCCGGTGATGTCCCAGAGCCACTTCCGGTGCCACAGAGCATCTTCCGGTGCCACAGAGCATCTTCCGGAGCTTCCATGAGATGCGAGCGATGGACGACGATCGTCGAACCCGATGTATTCGCAAGGATTGCAGATGTAATGAGCCATGATGCATGCGAGCGATGGACGACGATCGTCGAACCCGATGTATTCGCAAGGATTGCAGTGCGTAGCTCAGGAGCGCATGTGTTGACAGCGTTTCTGCCACATTGGGCAGCTGCATGACATAGTAAGGGAAACCCCACATGCATGCAGAGCCGCGCATCCATACTTACATGGATTCGCGAGGCATCATATCAAAAAGTTCGGAAGGGGGGGAAGGATGAGGCGGGGGGGGGGGAGGAGGAGAAGGAGAGAGCGAAGGCAGAGGAGGGAGGGGAAGGAGGACAACGATGATGTTTTCGAAAGGGTATGCAGTTCGAACAGGTCGATATCGAATGTTTAACATGGCCATATATCTTCCGTATCCACGGAGATAGCCACGAACCCGAATGAACAAATTCGGAGTGGGGGAATGGAGGAGGGAGGGGGGGGGGGAGGAGGAATATGGAAGGCGGAGGAGGGAGGAGGAGGAGGAGGGTGGGGCGATTACTTTTCAGCAAGAAGCAGGAGGAGGAGGAGGTAAGGCGGAGGAGGGGGAGGAGGGGGAAGGGGAGCGAGAAAGAGGGAAAGCAGAGGAGGGAGGGCGAGGAGGAGGGGATGTGATTATTTTTTGACAAGGAAAAAATGGATGCACGGTTGGCCACGCCTGGGGCAGCTCCCATGAAAAACTTCGGAGTGGGGGAACTGATGAGGAGGAGGAGGAAGAGGAGGAGAAAGAGGGAGGCAGAGGAGGAGGAGGAGGAAGGAGGAGGAGGAGGAGGAGGAGGGAGTTAGTGAGTGAGTGGTCCACCCGCGCGCGCGGGTGACCATGGTCACCCGCGCGCGCGCGCGCGCCGCGGCGCGCGCGCGCGCGCGCGTTGGAGTTCTGTGTTGTCCACAATGGATAAGTCCACATGTAATTCCAAAAAATGAATTTGAAATTTCTGTGGCTCTTTAAGGAGGCCGACAGGGAGTGGGTCACCCGCGTGCGGGTGACCATGGTCACGCCGCGCGCGCGCGCGCGTTGGAGTTCTGTGTTGTCCACAATGGATAAGTCCACATGTAATTCCAAAAAATGAATTTGAAATTTCTGTGGCTCTTTAAGGAGGCCGACGGGAGTGGGTCACCCGCGCGTGCGGGTGACCATGGTCACCGCGCGCGCGCGCGCGCGCGCGCGTTGGAGTTCTGTGTTGTCCACAATGGATAAGTCCACATGTAATTCCAAAAAATGAATTTGAAATTTCTGTGGCTCTTTAAGGAGGCCGACAGGGAGTGGGTCACCCGCGCCCGCGCGCGCGGGTGACCATGGTCACCCGCGCGCGCGCGCGCGTTGGAGTTCTGTGTTGTTCACAATTGATAAGTCCACATGTAATTCAAAAAAATGAATTTGAAATTTCTGTGGCTCTTTAAGGAGGCCGACGGTGACACGTGTCACCCGCGCGAGGCCGTCGTCGTCCTCGTCGTCGTCGTCCTCCTCCTCCTCCTCGTGTCTTCGTCCTCCTCGTGGGGTTACGGTTCGCAGCCGCGCACGGCCCCGTCCGGCCCGTCGTCGTCGTCGTCGCCGCGCCCGCCCCGACGCCATGTCCGAACATCAGATCCACTGGAAACCCCTCAACAAGGCCCGTCGTCGTCGTCGTCGCCGCCGTGGTCGTCGCCGCCGCGCCCCCGCCGAAAGGCCGAAAGAGCAGAGAGGAGGAGGAGGCGAGAAGAGGCGGAGGAGGAGGAGAAGGCGAAGAAGGATAAGGAGGAGAAGGCGGCCATCACAGAGGCGAAGAAGAAGGAGAAGGCGGCCATCAAGAAGGAGGAGGAGGAGGAGAAGGAAGAGGCGAAGAAAAAGGAGAAGAAAGAGGAGTGGTACAAGAAAAACAGATGGCATTGGAATAAGGCAGAGGACGGCGCAGCAGAAAAAGCACATGATTGGTACCAGCAGAATAAGCCATGGAAACATGAAAAGAATGAGACGAGGAAGATGGAGAGGGAGGAGCCTTCGCCCTTGGAGGTAGAGGAGAATAGGATGAGGAGGGAGGCCTGGGCGGCAGCGAAGGCGGCGAAAGGCAAGGGCAAGGCAGCGCGCAAGGGCAAGAGCAAAGACAAGGGCGAAGGCTCGGGCCAGGGCGAGGAGGTCGAGGCGAGGAGGAGCGCAAGTCGTCGTCGTCGTCGTCGTCGTCGTCACCGTCGCCGTCGTCGTCGTCGTCGTCGTCGTCGTCGTCGCTTCGTCGCCCGAGGCTCTGAAGCAGCGGCTGAGGAGAGCGCGTGGGAGTTCGGCGGCGGAGCTCGAACGTAAAAGGGTGTGGGAGGGATGGGGCTGGCGACGACGATGGTGATGACGATGGCGATGATGACGAATGTGATGAAACATGAATTTGAAAATTCTGTGGCTCGACGGTGACACGAGGATCCCCAAACTCCGTCGTCGTCGTCCTCGTCCTCGTCCTCCCCCTCCTCCTCGGTATCGTCGTCGTCGTCGTCGTCCTCCTCCTCTTATCTTCCTCCGAGGATCCCCCAACTCCGTCGTCGTCGTCCTCGTCCTCGTCCTCCCCCTCCTCCTCGGTATCGCCGTCGTCCTCCTCCTCCCATCTTCCTCCGAGGATCCCCCACCTCCGTCGTCGTCGTCCTCGTCCTCGTCCTCCCCCTCCTCCGGTATCGTCGTCGTCGTCGTCGTCGTCCTCCTCAGCTCGGGCTCCAAGGCGCGCGCCGCGTTCCTCCTCCTCTCCCTCCTCCTCATCCCCCCCTCCTCGGTATGCAGCGGCGGTCCTGATGTTTTCGCAGGGGTTGCAGTTCGAACAGGTTGAGTCGAATGTTTATATTGTGCCAAACAGGGCCTATATCTTGTACCATTCCACGTTATCCAAGATAGAACCGCATTAAAAAGTTCGGAGTGGGGGAATGGTGGAGAAGTTCGTCGTCCTCCTCCTATCTTCCTCCGAGGATCCCCCGACTCCGTCGTCGTCGTCCTCGCCCTCGTCCTCCCCCTCCTCCTCGGTATCGTCGTCGTCCTCCTCCTCCTATCCTCCTCCGAGGATCCCCCAACTCCGTCGTCGTCATCCTCTTCCTCGTCCTCCCCCTCCTCCTCGGTATCGTCGTCGTCGTCGTCCTCCTCCTCTTATCTTCCTCCGAGGATCCCCCAACTCCGTCGTCGTCGTCCTCGTCCTCGTCCTCCCCCTCCTCCTCGGTATCGCCGTCGTCCTCCTCCTCCCATCTTCCTCCGAGGATCCCCCAACTCCGTCGTCGTCGTCTCGTCCTCGTCCTCCCCCTCCTCCACGGTATCGTCGTCGTCGTCGTCCTCCTCCTCCTCCTATCTTCCTCCGAGGATCCCCCAACTCCGTCGTCGTCGTCCTCGTCCTCGCCCTCCCCCTCCTCCTCGGTATCGTCGTCGTCGTTGTCGTCGGCGGCCCCTCCATGCACCCCCTCGCCCACGCGGCGGCGGCCATGCCCGCGCCGCGGCGTCCGCCGCGCCCCCCGATGGGGCCTCCGCCCCCCTGGGCCTCGAGGCAGCGCCCGAGGCCTCGGCCTCGTCCTCCGATGGGGCCGCCGCCCCCCTGGGCCAACAGGTCGAGGCCGCCCGCGGCGCCGCCCGCGCCGACGAGCGCGGCGCCGCCGCGCGCGCCGGCGCCGCGCCCCAGGGCCCCGAGGTGGTGCGCGCCGCCGCCCCGGCGGCGCGCGTCGTGGTGGCGGTGGCCACCCCCGCGGACGCGAGCGCGGCGGCGAGCGCGGCGCCGCCGCGCGCGCCGCCGCCCGCGGCGGCGCGCGTCGTGGTCGACGCCGTCGCCGCGACTGCCGTCGTGGTCGACGCCGTCGCGGCGCCGCCGCGGACACCTGCGGCCGCCGCGGCCCTGCAGGCCGAGCGCGTGGCGGCCCTCAACGCGCGCGCGGCGGCGCATGTCGCCGAGCTCGCGTGGGCCGCCGCCGCCGCCAGGGCGGCGGCCAGGCCCGCGGCCAGGCCCTCGCGGTCGGCCTCCCGATCGCCGCGGAGGGGCCCGTGAGTTCGGCTCCGGCGCGGCTAGAGTAGGAGGAGGGGGGGAGGGAGGAGGAGGAGGAGGAGGAGGAGGAGGAGGAGGAGGAGGAGGAGGAGGAGGAGGAGGCGGAGGAGGAGGAGGAGGAGGGGGGGGGGAGGAGGAGGAGGAAGGAGGCGTAGGAGGGGAGGGATATGTTTTCTTGGGCAAGGGTTGTCAGTGCGATCTACGTGGTGTTGGCAGGCATGCATGAGGACGAGGAGGAAGGAGGGGAGGGATCTGTTTTGGCCAAGGGTTGTCAGTGCGATCAATAGCGTAGAGCATGGCGTCGTCGTCTGGAGGAGGAGGGAGAGGAGGAGGGAGAGGAGTCGGGGGAGGGCGAGGCGCCAAGCACCTCGCTTAGCATTTAAATCCATATATTGTGCAACTTCTGCAGTGCAGCAGTCGATTGAGACAGCCACGGAAGAGCGCTGTCGAAAGGGGGGGACGCCAACTCGTCAGAAGAGCGCCGTCGAGGAGGAGGGAGATGGAAGTAGTGAGGGAAAGGAGCAGGACATGAAGGAGGCTGAAAGGCTGAAAGGTGCGCAGGCATGGTGCCTCGCCGCGGCGCGGCAGGAAAACGATCCCCAAACAGGGAGGACGTGAAGGGGGACAAGGAGGACAGAGGGAGGGAGGACAAGGAGGAGGACAAGGAGGAAGGAGGGAGGACAAATAGGACAGCGATGACGCGGCCTGCGGGCAGGGCGGCCGTCGAACACCGCTGATGGGGCAGGGCGGGCAGGGCAGGTCCGTCGTGATTGTGTTTTGTTTTTTCGATCGAGCGGACCGCCCGGCGATCCCTCTTGTGCCAACGGTGCGCCAAAAAGAGGTAGTACCGTTGCACAAATCGGTTACTGCATTTACGTCGGTGACACATTCGGGCAACTCTCTTGGTTTTGCCCATAAAGTCTTCGGCGCCGAAGAGATCAAACCGCCTGGGGTTCAGGCGGGTGTCTCGCACTCGGAGAAGTACGTGCGCAAAACTCGCCGACCCATGGGGCCATGGCGCGTGAGTTCATTTAATGGGTTAATTGCGAGGCAGTCCCAGGCGGGAGCGGATTGTCAGTTAGTTGCATTGCCCCCCCCACCCAACGACGACCCCGATGGGCCCACCACAGGAACCGATAGGGCCCCGTGGGGCCTTGTAGGAGGATCCCCATCGACGGCCCCAGGAGTCGTGCCGCCCCGCGGGTAAGCGGCATCCGCACAGCGATGTAAATAATGCGTCTTAGGGCGCATTCTCCAGAGACCTGCATTGCTCTGCAATGCATCGGACGCAGCTTTCTGATGCGCCAACACCATGAGTGCCAGGGGCTTGTCGGATAGGTTTGCGCGCAGGGCCCTGCACGAGGAATTGAGGGGCGGGCGGAGGAGGGGCTCGAAGGGCAGGGCGCAGGGCGAGGGTCCGAAATGCACGCGGGGGTTCGGAGGTTCGTCAGAGGAGTATAGGCGCACAGGTAATAGTTCCCGAGCTTGAATGCCCTGTTGGCCTCGTCTTGGGTTAAAAACACATCCCCGTGGTCAAAAATCTTAATACAAGAAAGAAGCGCCCACATCATTGATGCCCTATGTCTGGCATCGTCAGACGTGTCGATCCCCGATTCAACAATTGTCGTTGCTTTGTTGGCTAGCCACACGAAGATCCACGGCCCTGCTCGAGCCTGGGCCCCCCGGCGCGCCGCCACTCCTCATTGAGTTTCTCCCCCATCCCGTCGGCCCGCACCCCGCCCCCAGGACAGCCTCGGAAATCCTCGATCCCATCGGATTCCGCTGGGGACCTCTCGCCAGAACCATTTTGAGAAAAAGGTAGCGGAGCAACGCGCAGCGTTCAGAATCATTTTGCAGTTCGCTCCCTTCATGCGGGTCTCGAGCGTAGGGTATTCCAAGTTGTCCGCTACCGAAATTGTCCTACGAGTAAATTTAGGCACGTTGAGTTGTCTCTTGTGGTTTTTATAAAACTCTTTTGCTTCTAGCCACAGTTTGATGAGGGCCTCGTCCAGGGTGCTGCCGATATAGTAAGTGGTTGCCATTACGTACAGCAGGCTGCCGCATGCATCCGACGCCCAGCAAGGACATATTGCGCGCAGTTATCTCCGAGCTCAGATATGTCTCACTGTATCCCTCCCCTTCGTTTCCCACCCTTCATTCCCCTCTCCTCCTCCTCCTCGCGCTCCCCTCGCCATCCACCCTACTCCTTCCGCTTCCGCCCCCCCCCCCTCCTATTTGGGCAGGGCGGCAAGACAGCAGTCGACGCCGATCCTTTACGAACCCGAGATACGCCAAATGCAATAAATCGAAATGGTTATCGTCGATGCTCCACGATGGTATGATCGACCACGGGCTGCGCTCATTACCAGGGTGCGTCGCCAAGTACTCCTGTCGGAGTGGGGCTGTCATCATCCGCTTCCTCCTCTCCTTCCCGCCCCTCACCTTCACGCCTCCTCCTTCCTCATGGCCACTTGCCCTTCCTCCTCCCCCTCCTCTTTCCTTCCTCCTTCCTCCCCCTTCCTCTCTTCAACGACATCTTTGCTATTTATCATCGGGGGTTCTATTCGAATCGATTTGGTCACGGTTATTGTTCGCCCAGTCCTGATGAGACGTCAAGTTCTGCCGCCAGGCTGCCGAAGGGCCGAAGGTGTACCTTTCCCCCGAGAAGATCCCCCAGCGGGGCACGGGAACGGGCCCAAGAGCGGGCCCGCAAGGGCCCATGACCTGTCCCTGCGTGAGCAGAAGAGCCTGGCCCCCCCTCCCCCCCGAGATTGGCCCAGGGGCACGCGCTGTAGGGGTCGCCGAACTTGCCGCCGATACACAGCTCGCAGATGAAGTTCGACATGAAATTTTTCTCGAATCGATGGCACGCCACTTTTTCTTTCAGATCCCCCGTCCACGCGTGGAACGTGGCGAACCACCCCCCAGCTAATGGTTCATCAGCTCGGTCTGCACGGCAGGATCCTGTAGGAAAGCGTTCGTTGTTGTGGTCCTTGCTTGGGTGGCGCCCGGTTTCTAATACATCCAGGTTCCATTTAATGAATTCAACGAGTTCTACATCTGTCACCCCTGCTATGTATTTGCTTTTTTCGATAATCACCATCGGCATCTGCATGTCGTAGCTGCTGATGTCACTAACCATAGCAGAACTCCAGCTGAATACCAAGAACTCGACCCCATTGTAAATCTCAACACCATCTGAATGGAAATCAACTGGTATCGTGGAGTTGATGTAGTCCGCCGCCCCCAGCA